ATTCTATTCTATTCTATTCCAGTATGACCTATAAAGCAGCCATCCTCTGTTGAAGGACAAACCACCGAAGAAGTGACCGGTTAAGTATTTCAGGGGTATATTTTGGGGTTTGATTAGTCAGAAAGTACTCAATTATATTATTGGAAGAAGAGTTTTCTTTCAGTTACTGATTCAAATTTATATACCTCTGTTTTTCAACAGTAGGCCCTATCCTCTTAGTGGATTACTTTTCAGCAAAGCCTTCTTAAGGCAAGACATGAAAAGTTAGAGGCAGAATTCCCAGAACCAATCTATATCCCACAAAGTTGCATCTTTCCTCAGCTTTCCTGACAATTTCCCAATACCTTCTCAAACTATACGCCAAGACTGATCTTTGCAAATACACTCAACCCTTTTCCTCCCTAAAAGACATCAGTCGAGGTAGAGGTCCTTCCTCGACACCCTCTAAAGAGTTGATACTGCTGTTGTAATTCACAGATCTCCTGAATGATTTATAAACCACAGGGCAGAAGCCCAGTAGCTGGATGCCTGCAGGGTCCAGAAAGAGCTGCTCAGCTGGGGCACACGTACAGCATTCAAACACACCACAGAGGCCAGCAAACATGCTGCTAAAGGCAAAGGGAGCATTAAACTAATAATTCCCTTTCCCTCTCCATGCACCTGCACCCCTCAAGAAAGGCGGGATTCCCTGATAACACAGCTGCATTGCTTCAAAGCTAGACCTCTCTGGCCAGCTCTCAGCAGCAGGAAAAACGTAGTTTTGTAAACTCTTTATCCTTCCATGGCAAACTTAACACACAGCTGTTGGCCCAACACCTACAAAAGTCAATGTAAAGATGAGCAGGGCTGAAAACTCGCACTCTGTTTGCCTGCAATGGAGTTTCACCACCAGAGAATCTGGCTCAAATTATTTTTAGCTGTTTTCACTCATTTATACTACCAAGCACGTGTTAAAGGGGAAAAAAAATCCAACAAAAAAAGCCCCCCAAAAGTGAAACAGGTCATTACTCATGTCTTGATTTCATTCTCACATGATGGATAATCATCAGTAAGAATGTATATTATTTCATCTGTGCCTCCACTCCATGCTAATTGAAGTTCAGCATTTGCAACTTATTAGTGTAAGACCTGGGGGCTGAAAAAAGAATATTCTTTGTGTTTATAAATCTGCTGATGAAAATTTAAAGTCTCCATCTGGTACAAGCACATAACCCTACCGCCCGAAGCACACAACCAAATCCTGCTTTGGACTTGGGCCACTTTCAGTGATGCAACAACTGCAATATTATTATTTGCACTTCTACAAAAGCAGCTCAGTTAGTGGTTTGAGTGTCCATGCGTTCAAGCACATACAGTCAGAGTGTAAAGTAAGACATCTTTCAAACAGCAGAGCTCCTACACTGCTGGCTTTCTGGGGAAATATATCCCCCCCAATTCAGGTGGGCAGCAATCCCTGCAGCTGCTGGTGCTTCACTTGAGCTGGTGTTGCTGTGATATCTCTCTCTGTCCCTTGCAGGGGTTTAGCTGGATGCCAGTAGCTGCTAATTCTCTAGTTACATCTGTAGCTGGATTTGTCCAAGCTTCCTGCCCTCTCCCACACAGTCTGACTGCCTCCCAGGAACTCTGCGTGTAGGATGTGTGGTTCCCCTCCCACCCAGTACGCAAAGGCCCATCCTATTATGAGAGTCTGTGAGATTTATCCTGTAGATCTGCGTATGGGAGAGCTAAACCACAGTGTTTTGTCATCAGCAGTTCTGTGAAAAGGGCAATTACATCACTTGTTTTAGGGCAGGAATCATTTGCCCTAGGGCTTAGGAATGACTCATCCCTGGCACAGATGGAGTCCAAACCCACTAAATGAATGTCAATCCCATATCCACCCCAGAGCTGCTCTGGCGCTCTCAGGTGTTAGACACTACTAGAGCAGTCATGTTCAACAAGGGCCGCAAGCCCCATCTCTAAATGGTTCAAGCCCTTGACCCCTTTCAGCTATTTGACTGACCACATACTGTGGATACCTTGGAGCAATGGCTGCATTTCTCTGGGTGCCTCTATTGTGCTACCCTAAACAAGGACCAAGAAAACTATGATACTGAGAAAAGCAAATAATTTTTTTTTAACAGAACTAAATTAATCTGGAGACATACAAATTACCCTTATGTTCACACTAGTGATTGAAGTTCAACCAGATGTTAGTTAGGTGATGCTAGAGTACATCCCTATGTTGTAAAGCCAATGATAGGACTGTTATCCAGAGTATCTCAGAGTGACAGAGATTATTTAGGTACTCAACTCTAAGATGGTGTACTGAGAAAACGTGTGTCTCCTTCCTGCTACAGCCATCCTGCCTGCTGTGAAGGCCCGAAGAGACCATTAGGATTAGCTTATCTGAAGAAATGTCCCTGAACAAAGATTACAAGAGAACTGAGCAACACAACAGTGGAAAGGAAAAACAAAGGAAAGGAGAGAGCTAGATGAGAGAGAAACTCTTTCCTTGTGCCAGATGACTATCCCAAAAGTCGCCAATACTTTACCTACTCTCCCTGGGAGTAGATGGGGGTCAGCATAACTG